CTTTCCCAACTGTGTCTCGGTCTCTCAAGATAAAGGCCTGTTGTATGTGTGAGAGGCACGTCATGTTCGGACCTGCAGCTTAATGGAAGGGGTGGGAGTGTTCGGAAGTGAGCTGTGTTAGCCATTATTGGTGCTAAATTTAACATTTTATTCTAATTAACTGCACAAAGAAGTGGACTTCAGCATTACTGGACCCAGACAGGAGCTTTAAAAAATGGGAAAGATGTGGATCAGTGCTCACGGGGCATGCATCTCTTCTCACATACTCTCTGGAGAACACCAGAAGGTTAGGGCAGGGCTGTCTCGTCTGGGATACTGTAGGGTCATAGGGCTATCCCACTGTCACCTCCCTGTGAGTGCCCTGTTGGCATTGTCTTAGGCCTGTGGGCAGCCTTCAGCCTCTTTGGTAGATTCAGTGTTTAAAGCTCCACGTAGTTCCTGAAGCTCTCCACACACACCAGAAACAGCTCTTTCTGTTTTTTTTATAATTAAAGCAGAGATACTTGTCTAGTAAAGTAATTGCTGGGATGATTTTGCCTTCTAAGAAACAAAGCATTACCATTAATGCAAATTTAAACAAATGTAACACTGCTCTTAATGGGAGCTGCCATGGGGTATGCGAGAAAGTTCATGTCATGAGCAAACCAGGCTGCTAATGGGCTGTCTCAAGTCTTGCTGGCCACATCTTCTCTTTAAGAACTCCAAGAACTGTACAGATGTCTTTTAATTATACGTCAACAGCTAAATACCCTGCTTACTTTGTGGGAATAACTTCCATCTTGGGCAATTCACTGTGAAGAATGGCGGTTGCAAATAGATTCCTCTCCCTTCATGGATTTATTTCATGGAAAAAGGTTCTGGGGGGGGTAAAGTTCTGGGGAAATAAATCCAGCCTCACACATGAGACATATTCTTTCATGTGTAGGCCTCCAGCAATTTGTTCTCTCACAGCTCATGTATTAGAAGAACTTGGGAGCGGTACAAGAAACTTAGAGATGCAACATTACAGTACTAAATAAGGAAACTCCTTGTCTTTCTTTAGTTTTGAATCTGTCTTAAATGCTTTTTTTTTTAATCTTTGGTCATTATAGTCATATCACTTACCAGCATTGCTTGTACAGATATGTTCGGGACTTTTTTGTGGTCCTGTTAGCTACTCTGACTGTGTGCTGGTGCATAGCTTTTTGGCTTTCTGGGCTCCTGTACAGTATACCATAAAAGAGCAATAGAAGTAACTAAATAGAGAAGTGTAGTGGTATATGTAAATTACTTCCAAGTTCTTCAGTGAAAAGCACTCTCCGAATGGAAATGATTTTTATTATTATTATTGCCTTCAATTTCGATCCATTTATGTCTCTGGACAATGAATGTCAACAAGAGAGCTTTTCTTCCCTGTAGCAATCCTAGCTCTGTGAAGTTACTCTTGGCTCCAAAGACTCTTAAGTTCCTTGCATGGGTCTTCTTCCTCTCTCTTGCCCACTCCCAATTGAGACTGTCTAGAACGACTTTATTTCTAAGGGTTTGCGTTACATTCTTGATTATAGCTTGTGTGTGAAAGAAAAGGCTTTAAAATGTGACTTTGTTGGACTGCAGTCTTTTCTGAAGAAGTGAGAGCTCTGCTGACAAGGCCTGAGGATCCTGGCACTCTGGGAACAGCACTGGCTATTGCAGAACTCAAGATGAAAATGGGGAGTCAGCAATACTTGAGGTCACTTTATTTCTTTTTGTCCCCACTGAACACAGCAGCAATTGAAACAAATTTTACTTGCAAAGAAGCCTCCTTTTATTTCTGTTTGACTTTTAATAACCTGCCTTGTCTGCCCTCATGACTCAAGCTCTGGTAGCATGGAGTCCCCCAATGGCTCAGGTGGCATTTTGAAAGCCATGGGATGTGTCTTTCTTCCTTGAAAATCTGTCTAGTGAAAAAGCAATTTCTTATTTTCACAGGTTTGTTGTTCCCCTGTGTGGGAGGCAGTCCCTATTTTGTTTCCTCCACTGCCATTCTCATCCCCCATATTTCCTTTACAATGTCTTCTCTGTGTTTGGGCATCAATAGCTCTGCTTCACCCTCCTCAAGGCTACGACTGGTGGGGATTTGCCTTAACAGCCAGTCCTTTCGTAGCAGGGCTTTTTCTAAGACCCCTTGCTCCCTTGGGAGAGGCTGTCAGCCCACACAGCTTGTCCTGAACAAGGGAATATTTGAAGGTTTTACTTAACTCACTTTCACATTTTTTCACAGATTAGTATTTTTTTAAACCCTGTTATGTTGTTTTAATTGAGTCTTGCCACCAAAACAAATGAACATTGTGTCACCACATCTCAGTTCCTTTCATACAGCCGCAGCTAAGAAAGTTTGGAGACGGTGCTACCTGCAGAAATGTTGAAGCCAATGCTATGTGTAATCGTGATGGATTGCATTCAAACTACTCCATACATAAATCTGGTCACACCAGAACAAGAACTGTGGAAAGTGTATAACGTTAATGTATACTCATTACATTCCTCCTTTCACAGGCTCCAAGGCTGTCAGGCTGTCAGGGGGGTAGGGAACTTGGAGTAATGAGGAGTTAGATTTAAACATTTTACTAGAAATCATTGCAGTTCTTCATCAAAAGGGGGGGTGCCTTTTAAAAAACAGTGCTTCTGTGATGTACAATGGCTGCTAAGGGGTAATGAGTTCTACATTTGTTGTCTTTTTATTGGTTGCAAAGTTTTTCTCGTTTTGTAAGTTTATTGAAAAAGGCAAGATTTAAAAAAAAACCACCTTGCAAACTCTGTTTAAAATTTATAGCACACCTTTCTACTCCCTTTGAAACCAAAGACAAATTTCCTACTGATTTTATCAGGAACAGTGTAAAGCCCTAAAAAGATAAGTAATGTTCTTTCTATCTCATGTAGAAGTGTGTCATTGGGTTCCTCTCTGGATGGTTTTGTCTGTATCTTTACAAGTGTACACCAAGGACTGAATTTGGCCCTGCAGTTAACGTTTTGTTTATTCAATTCACATAACCTCTATTCAAAATGAAGGGCTCATTGGCCCACAGAGTGGGGAGGAGGAGTATAGGGCAGGCAGCCATGCAAGGTAGCATGTCTCCCTCCATGGCTAGGAGTGGCAAGACTGATCAGTAGCTGGAGTGATACTTTTGAGCTCCCATGCCTTACACTGGCACTTCTGTCTCTCATTTCACTCATCTTTCAGAGCTGCTGAGCAGCCAGTGCCCCTTAAAGTCCTTCTCTCTTTTTTTCAGGGGAGTAAGTGTGGGTTCAGTCATGTAACATACATCCCAGATCTAAAACCTTTGCTGAGGAGCTTGGCTGGCTCAGGTGGAGGATGCCATGTTCTGTCAGGTATTTTTTGGAGAAGAGTGTTGCTTTGATAGCCAGCTCAAAAAGAGGGAATTTCCTTTCCCAGCAGACTGAGCAGGTAGGTCTGTTGCTGATCACCCTGTCTGTGGTTTATGTAACTGTTTTTTTGTGTGCCGAAGGCCCTAGCTGGTGATAGGGCTGCCAGGCTCCATTGCTAGCAGTGTACTGGTGGCTCTAGGGCTTCTATCTGACTTCCTACAGCTGCAAATGCTACCAGCACTGATTTCACAATGCCTGGGACACAACCAGTGGGATGAAGGAGGGTGCGTTTTAACTGAATTTGGGCAGTGAGAGAGGCTGTAAGGAAGGCTTTCTGCAGAAGAGAAGGCAGCTCATCACAGGAGAGCTGCCCCTACTTTTCATTAACGAAGCTGACTGCCCTTGCTGAGTCTACTCTTGGTTTCTTATGCCCTGAACTGTTTCTTTCCCAAATCTAGGTGTTGTGATTTGGCATGGCGATTCATGGCTCTGTTACCGTAAGACCGAATTCCTTCAATGGAGGATGAGGACGGAGGCAAGTTGGAGACTCAGCTTGTGCAAATATGACACCTTTGTATCCTTGTGAAGATGAGCCACTACCACCCCAAGCATTGATGTTCTGCTTGGCTCCCAGGCTATTGGCTGTGGTCTGGCTCATCAGAGCCATGTGTTAGTTACTACCATCCTTGATTCACTACAGCCAAGCCTTTAAGGCCAGGTCCTGCTCATGAAAGCTCCTGTATAGGTACCTTTGTCCTGTGATTCATACAGCTGTATTTGCATGCAATTATATTCCTTCCTCTGAGTTCAGACATGGCTTGCCAGTCAGCATGCTGTTGTTACATTAATAGTAGATGCCAGGCCCCTTGGTGTTGCTTATTGTTCTGCTGAGGTTTGGTTTTGAGAAATGCTATCCGCCTCCCACTTCAGCTAAAGCAAAAGGCAGTGTTGTATGCAGAGAGAGAGGATTTTGTGGCCCTCATGGACCATAGATATAAATAGTATTTGCAGTTATAAGTAAACATGGAAAATTCAAACATATCTGTAAGTTTTGGCTTTTAATATTTTTATGTTCCTTGACTCTCTAGTTTTGTCTCCAGTCAAGAATAGGTATTTTCACTGCTGAAACCCTCAGAGGCTGCTTTCTGGTGTGAGCGCTCTCTTGATGATTCACTTCTTTGGGCTCCTAAGCAGTTGGTTTGCTCAAGGTGTTGTAGCTGTTATTATCCTTGAGAGTAACACACAGGTCATGGCTGATAAAGATAACAAAGCAGACACTGTTTAAATAAAACCCCCTCAGTTCTGAGAGCCAGTGTTGTTAATCCTTGATCTTCACTGCCTGCCTGCAAACTTGACAGTGTGCTTCAAGGGTAGATTGCTGGTATTTTCAGTTTTAACTAACAGGCAGCCATACTGTATTGAGATATCATTAGGATCAGAATTACTAAACTGTGTTATAATCTAACCTGGGATCACATCTGAGATTTCCCAGTCAGCACAGGACTCCCTTAGATCAGATAGATGTCAGAGCTCAAGTTGGCAATCACAGAAAACAGGAAGAATTTGAAACTGGGATCAGAGTTGGTGATGTAATTCTGTCTTTAACAGTGATAAATATCTCAGGGATTTGCTGATGTTTTGTACTTCTTTTTTAAAGGTGGGCCTAGATATGAAGGCTTTTTCCAACATTTTGTGATTCCTCACGGTAATTATATTCAACTCAGTTCTACAAGGGCAAATTGGTATTGAAGAGCCCAGGCAGAAGACAAATGTAAGTAGTACAAAGCAAATACACATCACGTTACAAGACTGTATGGGCAGGTTTAGCCTTACCTAAATGTGGGGGCTGCACCCTCACAGAGCCTCTGCCACATCCAGTCAAATGGACAGTGCTCCATCTTCTAGTGCTGGGGAGAAAAATGTCTGCTTGTGGTGCACTCTAGTGAAATTGTATCTGTAGGACAGACTGAATTTGTTATGTGCATGTTGGGAAAATGAGGGAAAGAAAGTGAAAGAGATTATAAACATAAAAAAAATGTGCACATTTATTTTCAACCCAGTATGCTACATGTAGCACTGTCAGGTTAATTGGTAGTGGACTGCATGACTCCAGGCTCAGTTCAAATCCTGAAATTTGAAGACAGCAGAGTTTTTCTTTTAAACTCACTGAGTCTCTCTAAGGACTGAATTTTGGGTGCATTTAAAACTGATTTCAGATCTGACACTTGCAATAAAAATATGTATTTTGTGATGGACATTAAATTTGTGATATGTACCTCAGTCTATGGCATAACACAGAGCCTTGGGTGGCATGGTTTAGTGGGAGGTGTCCCCACCCATGGCAAGGGGGTTGGAACTAGATGATAAGGTCCTTTTCAACCCTAGCTATTCTATGATTCTGTGATTCTATGATTCTATAAATTGATAATGGGCCAGCACACACAATGCTTGTTGTTCCAAAATCAAAGCAGATACACAAGGGTGAGAATGAAGATGTGGAAAAGTTGAATGCAGTCTCAGGCTTTTCCCATAGGTAAGAACAAATCCCTTGAAGCCTCTCCCTTTCTAATTTTAGTGATAGAGTTGGTGCTTTTGCAGGAATTTATAATTGCTGTTGATTTCTTTACTTAGAACTTGCGTGACTTGTTTAAACAGCATTGCAGTTCTGGAGTTCTTTTGTAACATCTTAGGAGGGTACAAAACTAATGTAAGACAGACTAGGCCTGACCCCAGGGGAGTTGACATGGGTTCAGAAAGTCTTATTTGCTCATTCTTTCTGCAACTCAAGGACAGCCATCATGTTTTGCACCTGGAGTAATACTTTGTCCAAGGCACAAGTTGTCCCCAAATATTGCTTTCCATCTTCATGTCTTTCTATGGGTCTGAAAAGATCTACATGGGTTACACATGTATATTCTCTGAAAGGATGTCCTTGTTTTTCCTGTCACTGCCATAAATGCTTCCCTAAAGGTCATGGGATATAAGACAGGAAAGTATTGTACTTCTGGAACTGGAACGTCTATATATTTCCCTTGCAGCACGCCAGGTTAAAGATAACATGATTTTAATTGCCTGCTGCTGTAATATCCTTGTGGAAAAGCTAGTGGATTTCTGGAACAGAAGCATACTGCAGAAAGTCAGTACAAGTTTAATCCCCTGATCTGCACAGACTGTCAGGGTGCTTTTGAGCAAGTTAGTTGGTCTCCATGTAACTCAGTATCTTGTGAGTACAGCTGAAATGAGCACACTTCCCTATGGCCCTTTCATGGTGAGAAGTGCATTAAAGACTGTAAAATACTTGTAGTCTGCAATGGTCAATCTATGTGTACTATTAAAGTAGCTGTTAAAATACTTGAATAAACAATCTGACCAGAAGAGCCTCTCCATGAGGTATTGCAGCCATTGCTTTGTCTTCCTTTGCCAGCATGCTGTACTGCCTTGTATGTCACTGTTAATCATTTCCCTTCCTGAAAGAATTTGTTGAAGGAGTACTGTTTTACTCCACTTCAGACAGTGCAGGTTGGCTAAAATCTCTGGAAATGCTCATCACAGACAGTCAGCTTTGAGATGATGCAAATACCTCATAGGGGACCTGCTAGCCAGAGGAACTTGGTACTTGGGCATTAACTGAAGATGGTCAGGGCTTCTGTACCGTCCTAGACCAACACACTTCATTGTAGTTCTCTGCATACTGCATCTTGCATCAGATCTGTCCCATTAAATCAGTGGAATTATTTAAATAAATTATTTTTATTAATTTATTATATGAAAAATTTTAGAGCAAATTCCTTTGATGTGTGATATCCTAATCACACCCGCAGGGCATTAGCAGGCACAAGGCACATCTGAGTGTCTCTAATTCCCTAGTGGTGTGATTATATCTCATAATATTCAGAACCCCCTGGAGCTTCTTTACTAGTATAAATAAATCAATTATTTAAGTCAAATACTTTGATCATTAGAAGCTGCCAGTGCGTGCTTGAATGCCTGAGCTGTGCGATTCACCAGGAATGATCTTGCCTCTCAAAATGCTGAGCAGCTGAGCCGAGTGCTACCAGCACTTCATTTCAATCTGCTTTATAAATTAGATTAGAAGTCAGTTTCCAATGCTTCATTCTGGATAGTAAGGAAGGGTGAACTTTACAGGGGTGGAATTGTGAGATATCGCTGCCAACAGATCCTTTTATCATTTAACACTGCTGTCATAGGTTAAATTTGAGCTACTGTTCATATTAACTAATAGCTATTACACTGAAAACTGACACAGGGATTCCAGCTAATGCACCATGAACCTGGTTCACACGCACTGCATCATATTACCTATTATTTGCACATATGGATGGAAAGAAGTTTTGAGTCACTTGGGATATATGGCAAATTATCATTTTATATCATATTAATGAAGTGCTAATTGCTCCTTGCAACCTTTTTTTGTGCAAATTGAGTGGGTCCTATTTGCATTGTCATGTAACCGCTGTATTACCTTGCAGCACTTTCATTAGGATGAGGCAGCACAGAGTTCATCAAGGAAAAATAGTAATTGTGAGATAATTAGTTGTGAAACTAATATTGTTTAAAGTAGAACAGAAATATTCAGTTGACCTTGGTTTGGCTTGGGAATATTTTTTATTAATAGGTTTATAAAATATCTTTCATTCTGCATATGTTAAACTGACATCTTATAAACACAGCTCCCTGCTCCAATATTTTTCAGTTCCTGTTTGTCAGGGGGTTTCGCATCTTCTAATGAAACATGGAACTTAGTTGAAAAAAAAAAAAAAGAGTTGTTTCTTGCTGGCCGTTTATCTCTAAAGTGAATCACAAGTCTGGAACTTTGTGAAATTGTGAAATAGGAAAATTTCTCTAAAGCTATTGAATTTGCAGGTGTCCAAACAGCAGCAAATTCTGTAAAAGAATGTAAGAAACGTTAAAGACGATACAGTCTTAATTATTTGCAGACTCTTGTTACCTATCACAGATAAAATTCTCCATAAGAGTAAAATGTAGTACGTGTTATTTTCAGCCAAGACAGGCATTCTGTGGAAGAGGTAGGAAGTGGGAAAAAATGAGGGGAAAAAAATTGAAAAGTAGTTTCATGCTAACTCTGGGTTGTTTCCATAATTGTGGAAGAAGCATGATTAATTTCTGAAGGCTCTGTGGGCAAGGCATCCAGACAAAATGACATAAATCTACATTAGAGGATTTAAATGCTTTTTCCAAGAAAAAAGTGAGCTGAACTTTAGGTAGCACAGCCCTTTGCCAGTCAAGTCAGCCAGATTTAGGGCCTGCACCTTTTCTTTTTCAGTGAAGTATTGGATAGGGACAGATTGCAAGTTACAGCCAAAGGCAGTATGACAGCTTTATTGCTGTTGCATGGGCAACATATTGTCTTTGTTTGGGAAATAAGCTGTGGACTTACAGAAAGGTATGCACAAAGAAATGCCTTCAGATATTTGTATTATTAAAACAAAGGTTGTTAATACAGATTGACTAGTATTCTCTTTCTTTTGGCTGTGTATGCCAATGCATTTGTGTAAACATAGACCATATTTATTACAAGGTAGTCCCAGCTTGAGAGCAAACTGAATGAAGAAACTGTGCCTAACATAGTCTGTCACAGAATATATTCTCAATTGTCCATAGTGTGTGTGTGTGTGTGTGTAATTGGAATTCACACCTCACACAGACGTAATGAATGTAAAAGCAATTGCATAGGACATTTTCCCAGGTGGGCATGAAGCAGTGCAGCAAGTAAACACCTTCTCTGCTGACTTAAGAGTCTTAGCAGCAGCAAAGGAAGGAAAAAACAAGTAGCAGCAGCTCAGCATTTTTTTCAGACCTGGTCTAGATAGGGGCATTTGCAAATTGCTTTGTTTTGCTCTGTATGTGATCCTGGATGATGTAAAAAATGCAGATCATCTGGATTTCAGATGTATTCTGTCCACCCAGGGGCCAAACCAGAAATACTTGATTATGGTGCTATTTGCATCCAATTTGTTCTGAACCGGAGGAATTGTATAGGTGAGCTGGACAGAACTTGCTTAGTGACAGCATCTGCTTTGTGCTTTTACAAAATGCTTTCCACCCTGTCTACAGAAGCTTACACTTGGTGAAGTCTCTATGGGGAGAAATATTTTCTGTCTTTTTTTTTTTTTTCCTTTTCTGTCTTAAAAATACATTGCAGATCTTCCTGTCGCATTCTGGGAGACGTCAGTAGATGGTTGTGAGAACACAAATATTATTTTATTGGTAAAGCCTGAGTGCTTCAGCAAAGTCTTACCTGGCAGCAGTGCACTGAAGCTTGGAGTATAGCATGCGTCAGAGCTGAAGTTTTAATGGGCTTGTTAGTTACCACAATAAATGTGGACCCTGCGGGGAGTTGTTTACTGTATGTAAGAAGAGGAGGTCCTGGGTGTGGACAAGAGAAAAGGGCAATGTGGCAACCTCAAGAATTTTATGGGTTTCTGTTAAACAAACAGCTGCGGTAACATCAGGAGGTTATCAGGAGCCTGAGGAGATCCAAGAGCAAAGCTCTGGTAGATAGAGGAATCAGATGTACAAACATTCTTCCTTGCTGACAGGTAGGGCTGCACTGGTATATTCTTCTGCTAGTCCAAATGAGTCTGGGAGAGGAGTTGAGTAGAAAAGGGAACTTTTGGTAAATGAGGAAGGCTGCTTCTTGCTTCACAAGCCACTTCCTGTGTTACAACTCATCTCTTTTCCAGGCATTGCTGACAGGAGTCCTTGCTGAGCTCTGGAGGCTGACACTGG